CCAGCATGGGTTGGATACGGATATTTTGGTCTGAGGGCCCAGGACCGTCGTCTTCATCCTTTCAGAATCGCCTATCGCAGAATTCGTCGACGTTGCTCCGGGGATTATGTGGAGGTAAAGAATATTAGGGATTATCAAAATTTAGCTTTTTTCAGGAACAATAATTTTTCTTGATATTTTAAAGATTTTGTATTATTAAGTTGTTGATTAATTAATTTGCATCTAAATAGCTTTCCTCTCTGAATAAACCAGACATTTGCAATTTTGAAGGCCAGCTACACTAAAAGTAGGAGATTGCAAGCGAAAATATGTGCCATAGATTGCGCCCTCAATATCTGTTGATATCTGTTAAGGTAACCGTAAATGCTGGTCGTGAGACAAATTCTGAAGTAATCAGTTTATTGGGGGATGGTAGCCGGATGTTGGTTGCCGACCTCAAACATCTGGGTTAAACCTGCAATGGATACAAAAATGTATGACCATGGACCCAAACGAGAGCATGTGATACCGCGTTCAAATTAATTTCTTGTCTGAAACTTAATAAACTGTTTTCACCGTTCTGTTTACAGTTGAGGATGAGGCGATTTTCGATTTCGATTAGGCTGGATTCAACAGCAAGCTGATTACACCTTTCACTGATAATCACAATGAGTAACCACTATCAGGTGGGTAGAAACGAATTTCGTCTCTGTGAGACGCCTGCATCAGACAGTATGGCCCTTCTTCTGATTCAGTCTGGTATGACCACATCAGAACATCATGCTACTCCGGTCGTACTCAAAGCAACGACTTGCTAACCATTTCTCCTCTAAGTGTTTCAAAGCGACACGTAATAATTCCTCCCTTATGGGAACTGGTGATTAGGACGTGAAATTAAGCGATTTATTACTTAACCTAACTTCAAGGATATTAAGGATTCCATCCCTCCCCCAGCCAATCTATCCACTTCATTTGAATTTAGTTGGTATATACATACCAGTGGAATGGTAAACAAATTTACAACATATGCACTTTGGTGTCTCGGCAGGAATCATCGAACGTCGATATTCAGAAGTCCCGGGGCCTCATGAATGTTAGCGTGTGAGCGTAGTGCTTTGTGTTTATGCACAGAGTTTCACAAAACTATTATTTGTTTAAGAAATTAGGTTTATTTGCAAAAAAGTTACTTTGATGAGAGGGCAGCAATAAATGTTAATGAAATTCTTAAGCCAGGTTAAAAATGATGATGAATTCAATACAGTAAGAGTGATAATTATCACCATTATTATTAAAACGGTGATTGTCATAGTAGAGAGCTAGTGATTGGAACGTGTGACTACTCATATGCATTCCGCTTCTAAGTAAAATTTTACTTTCTGATGCAGCAATCGTCTTTCAAGATGAACATCCTAAAAAAACTTTTTGAACATAGCAATAAGAATAAATATTTACTCGTTTGAGGGAGTTAACCGACATTAATGCTAGTCTTAGGATATTAGAAAAAGTTTCATTCAAAAATAACCGTGTTAATTTACCTTTGCTAGTCAAGTGCTAGTTTTCGATAGTATTGGCAAGAATATAAATCTCCTGACGTTTCACCAGTTTTTGCCTGTCGTCATCGCACCTCTCGTTTGCTTATTGCGGTCACTAGACCATGTCACCATCCCTCAAGAAGACCTTGCTCCATGGTGTTATATCGATGACTCTCTGTTACTGCCGTTTTCCTGCCTGGACCATGCAGAAGGAGTCAGTTTCTCTTGTATTTATTTTATGTCATCGTTCATGGTGTGAGTCATCAGAATTGTTTAGCTCACACGTAAGCGTTTCATGAAAGGATGTCTTCGTGATTTCCTCTGAGAATCGCACGAACGATGGCAATGGCTATAAGATGTTTCGTTCAAGGTTCATGCCGAAGTGATCTTTTCTTGAACAAACTTGCCATCAGGTATTAAGAGAATGAGTTCAATCAGATCCAGATATCACACCTTTTTACCTGAAAGTTTCACGATTCACGAGACTTCTTAGAGGCTATAGGCACACTATGCCAACTTCGCTTCCTTTAATTGATTGTTAGTAAAATTCCAGTTCCTTTTTGTTTAACAGGAGCGAAGGAGCGAAGAATATGTGAGGTTCCTCGATCGTGCTCTGAGCGCACAATCGACAAAGAACGTAATTGA